TGTCCAGAGCATTGGGAGTCCTTGGAAACAAAGTCATGCTCGGAAGAACAGGCATGTAAGGCAAGGGCGATGGAAACAAGAACTCATTGTTTACCTTCCTGATTCGAGAAAAAAGAGACTCGGGATGCTCCCACTATTTCAGTGCAGGGTCTCAAAAAATCCCTGCAGATGCCAACACCACAGTTCGGTTTCATTTATGCAGCATGGCATGGTGCTTTTTCGCTTTCATCGATCCACTTCGCCGCGTGTCCGACTTCGCGCAAGACCCGACTTCGCGCCCGCCGCGAGGCCGCCGTTGCCAGGACTATTTGAAGGAGATGGGTATGAAGGACCCGTGACGTACGAACAAGAGCTTCTTTGGGCAAAGCAAAGCGTGGAAAGAAGGAAAACGTCCTTGTTGGATTCAACACAACCAATGGCACCATTTTAGGCAACAGTCCGAACAACACAAATCGGAGCATGTTTTTTTTCATGGTGGTTTTCCTTGCACAGCCTGCGAAGCGACCTCAGGGCGAAGCGGGCGAAGCCACCTCAGTGTCCCCTGGCGCTCAGGCGACCTCAGTGTCCCAAGAAGCGAAGATGGAGCCGAAGGCAATGGTCGGAGTCTCAGTGATGATGGCAATTGTCGGTGGCTAATCGAATTGGTGGCAACAGGTGGGTCACCCATCGTTTTCGCAGACTGCTGCAGACGTGTGGTTTTTTGGAGCTCTGAGTTGCGAAACACACCGAAACAGGAAGATCAACTGCAGACGGGGGGTTCACCTGATTGATGGACGCGAGCCATTGATACCTTACTAGGTCGCCCAGTGTTGTTTTCGTTTGCCGCGTTCGATGTCCAGGACACCTACAAGCAATGGCAGCCAAAGATGCCTGCACCCCTTGAATCCAAGAAATTGGAGAAAAAAAACAGAGAAGTGCAGGAGAGGCGGTGGCACGGGAGGGGAAACCACATATCCACAGGCAGGTTTCAAAAACTAACAGAGGATCGTAGCTTGAAAGATTATGATGTTTTTCAGCTAATTTAAACACATATGTTTTGCAATGATTCACGTTGGAATGGGGGCCGACGTGAACCACATGGATCTTTGATAGGAAGAGGGCAGGTTGAGGAAGGCCAACATGCGTGCGGGCTTTGTGGACAGATGCCACTGCACTGAATGGTTTTCCTCGAGGCCTCAAGTTCGACACTTCTCCATCTCCAATATTGATGCTGATAGAATAGAAGCGAATCTGTTCAATTGTAGACTTGAATCGGTATGGCCCAGCTCTGAAAACAGTCAACATCAACATGTGCCACATTTGCTTCGGACAGAGTCATTAGAGTGGAGCCAGTATTCTCAAACATGTCCAGCCATCTCCGCGCAGGATTTCTCTAAATTTGAGGGAGAGGCCCTTGTGATGATGAAGCTCAAGAGCATTGTTGAGGACCTGAAATTGCCTGAAATTCTATGCATTCTATGCAGATTGGTCTTTGGACCGTTGGATTGCGATGACTTGAGGGGGGATTTCTTGAGTCGATGTGATTGGTCGAGACCGAAAACCGGTGGGATGTCTCGACCCGACGTCGACGTCGACGTGGCTCGGAGGATTTGGGCGGCGATGAGGGGATAGAGATGGATGACCCGTTCATGAGTGCCGGATTGAACAGCAGGCGGCTCGGGCGGGTTGGGCAATACATTGTCCGGTGGAGCGGGCCCTTCCACCAAGTGCTTGGATTGGTCACGCACTGTTTTCGCTCGAATTCAGCATGGTTCACGATGGCTTCGGTCAGTTGGTCCGTGGTCCATACCCCTTTTGGGACACGACGTGTCATGCCCACCGACTGGAACACACCACTGAGATCGGATGCTGCGACGACTTTGCCTTTGCTGCTAGAGCATTCATCGTCACTGCTGAGTTCGGCCATCATTTTGCTGCGGGGGTTGCTACGGCTACGAGTCCTGCATGTTTTGTTCTGCCTCTTCTTTGGCACGCTTGGCCTCTAAAGCGGCCATCATTGCTTCTAGCTTCTCAGCACGGGCACCGAGAGGCTTCCAGCCACCAGGGCGGCCTTCCCCCGAGCCTTTGCCATTGGTAGTAGCACCCATATTGAGACAAGGGAAAGTCAGTCTACAAACTCAACCCCAAACTAGTTTTTCGAGCCCGCAGTGCTAGATTAACACCAGGGAGGTGCTTAAGTCGGCTATAACATCTCTGGATGTGTGTTCACAGGATATCCCAAAGACCTGGCATACTTGGCAGAATCAACAACAGCGGAATATGCAGTAGGGACACCAAACAAACGAAGCGCAACGAGGGCTGCCGTGCAGCTGAGAAGTGAATTGGAGCAAGCCTTTGGCCCAGAGACTTGGACAGGATCGACGCACGGCCGTGCGTTCGCCGGAAGAAGATCGACCTGTGTATCGGTCCCAAAGAGATGAACCGTGGCACAGGTTTAAGATTTTAAGTGGGGATCTACGAACTTCTATCTATGACCATCCTGGACAAATAGACCATCCAGACGGTCTATGACAGAAGGTCTACATAGACTTCGGAGTTTTTTGGGGGTCTATGTACCGTCCTGGACATGGGTGTCCTGCCTGGGAGGCGTCCAGCCGGTTGGACACCGTAGCATTGGAGCGACATGGTCCGACCGTAAGAATGAATGGGACCGGACTGTAGCATTGGAGCGACCGCACAGGAGAGGTATCCAGCTCTTCCCTAATTGGAATCACGAAGCTGTTCGAAGCAACCCTAAAGCTTTTGTATGTTTTTTTTCCCCATCCGTTAAGTGGCTTTGACCCAGCTTGCCCTTGATCGTTCGATGCCTCCTTTTTACTGGTAGATACTGTTTGCTGTTATTTGTAGTGAAAAACCACACATGAAATACTGCAGTGTACCCTTCCGCTCCACGCCAAACCCACCAGTCTGGGTGCCGTATCCACGAAAACTGAACAGGCCATGGACGACCTGAAAACGATCGCTTTTGGTAATGCTTGGGCATACATGGCTCACTTCTGGTGGGCATGACCTTGATCAAACAATGCGCACGAGAGCATTTCGCTGGGCCAGCTGAGTCCAGCGGAGCAAATGCTTGGGGAAGGATGGTACTGGGCTGGTCAAAGCAGCCGTCGCTGCCCTAAGGAGATTCAGTATCCTTCAACCTTGGCGTTCGACCATCCGAACATCAGGCAAGAAGCTCGGTGAGTGCTGATCCAATTATATACTAGATATTTACCAGGCTACCGCCTGCAGCCGCCGACCCCCAAGGGATAGAACCTTAGCGCTAGCCTTGCTCTATGTTAGCCTTAGCCTCAAGCCTTAGCCTTAGCCTTAAGAGTGCAGACCCAACCCAGCACCACCAAAGCAGGTACCCAAAAAGTCGACTTTTTGGGTACCTCCCAGGTTTACCAATTTAGACCCAACCCAGCACCACCAAAGCAGGTACCCAAAAAGACAAAGCCTAGAGCATTCCTAGGAAAATGCCAGAAAAGCCTTTGAAAATCTCATAAGCCAACAGAAAACGTGACAAAATCTACGAAAAAGCAAGGGCATTGGCCGGGACCATGCCGCGACCAGCCCGGGACTCGAGCCCAGGACCATTTTGGACCGTGCTTATTTTCCCGCGCGGGTCGAGAGGGTGCCCCAAGATGTAAATCAATTGGGATGGCAGAGTCTTGGACAATTCCCGGGTCGCTCAGGTCGCTTTCCGGGCGGGATTTCGTGACTGCAACAAGGGTCCGGAGGGGTAGGGGAGGTAAGGTCTAGGTCTAGGTCTAAGGCTAAGGACTAGGTCTAAGGTCTAAGGCTAAGGCTTAGGCTTAAGGCTAAGGCTAACATCGACAGTCACGCCTCACCCCACGGTGTGGGGTCGGCGGATTACAACGTAGTAACTAGTAGCAAATAGCCGCTACTATAGTAGCTTCTTGTTACTAGTAGTAATGCACTTGTTACTAGTACTAGTAATGCACTTGTTACTAGTACTAGTAATGCACTTGTTACTAGTAGCGATGCACTTGTAACTCTATTTGCCCCTGTCAGACTTGTCAGAAGGTTAGCTGGTCTTATCTTGATGCTGACGTTTTTTAATTATTACACATCACTTCCGGTATATACGACGTTATGTTTCACCACCTCAACAGCCAGGTCCATGTCCTCCTGGTTGAGCCAGCATATTCCAGGATGAGCACCTCGGCCACGTCCTCACACGCATGGGAATCAACGAACTTCAGAGGTTACCATGAAGTCCGAGACATACCAGCGGGTATTGCCGCAGGTTACGCGCGCCATTCGATGTTTTGATACTTCCACTCCTCAGCTCAAAGCGCTATGGTGAGCTTTGGTTTGGGTCAAACATCTAGAACCACTCAGGTTTCGTCTCCTGTCCTCTCCAACGATGCCTTTCGACCCTTCGATGCCGAGACCCCGAGACCCGGCGCCGCGCCGGGGGGTTCTCGCGCCAGTCCCAAGTCAGACAATCCCTGCTTGCAGATGTGCCAAAGCAAAGCTTCCAGTCAAAAGCCCAGATTGCATGGATTGTTTGAAGCTGTACAAAGCGATCTCGTTTGTTCAGAGAAGAGAAAAGGCCCGCCCTTTTTTCAGGAGTTTGGGGGTTCTGTATGCTTCTCTATGGTTCGATGTGCGCACTGTGCATGTGTTTTCTGTGAGGATTTTTTGCAGGACCTCGGCGGTTGTCACACAGGATAGCCATGCAGATTGCAGAACGAGTCACGACGCGTGCCGTTGTTTTGGTGAAGTCGTTGGTGTCCACTAACGTCCTTCAGCACCACCAAGCTATCGATCAGGATAGCGAACGGGTCATCCTGGGTCTTTGGGTCGACGCCTTCGGTCCAAACGGAACGGGTTGGGCGTTGGACATGTAGGGATGTTCCATGAAATGGGAAAACGAATCCATTGAGTTAGAAGAAGCAACTTAGCCTTGTGTACCAGCAACCACCGGACCCATCGTTTGGCACCGTGCCCCATTCCGCGGACGGAGTGCCGACCGGAGTGCCGTGCAGGAATGAGACCGCCGATTTGCAGCAATCGGTTCCAGCGATTTGGGATTACACGCTGGGGTACCTCAGCAACGCCCCGAGCGTACGAGCACGCTGGTGTGAACGACCGGTGGGGTTCCGGCGACGAAGGTTCGGCGTCTTTCCGAGTCGTGGAGATCCACAAGGAGTTGTTAGATTCGATGGTCAGATTCTGATCGTACTCTTCCTTGTGTTTGTGTTTGTCATCCAGATGCTTGGACCAATGATGGGAGCAAGGTGTTCAGGCGTTTTTCTTGCCAGGACAGATGCGAGGAAGACAGGAAGACAAACAATCAAGAGAACTTGGAATAGCCTTTGCAGTTGCCCACAGCCCTCACATGCCCCTATTCAAGACAGAGAACCCATGCGTTCATATTCCGCTCAAGTGGCAAATGCCAAGCGGGTGCATCATACCACACGTAGTGAGACAGCGACTTGAAAATGTCAATTGAAGTTTCAGTGCACTGTTCTGGCCACATGATTTGATCAACAGCAACCCAAATCTCTTCATTTGCGCAGCAATCTCGGACTTTGTATGCCTTTGTCTAAGTGGCAATGAATGTGCACACATCAGACGTGGCAATCAAACTAGCCGCACTAGCCTTTGTTTCTTGGGACCGAGGCCCAAAAGCAACTTTCAGATCTCCGTGACCATCGAAGTTCCGCCGCAGCTGGTCTACTATGTCCCGATGGCATCGGAGGCGACACACAAAAAGAACCATCACCAAATTCCAAAGAACTGAACCTTCGGAGGCGCGAGTCGTATCGAGTCGTTTGGAGAAGAGCTTGAAAGCTCTCCCCTTTCGCGTTGTTTGGAGTTCCTGTGATGAGAGCTCCCCTTTCACCTCAGCCAGGGCCAAGTCCAGGGCCATTATAGATTATAGACAGGAGAAATGGCAGGGTGTGAAAACATGCAGAGATTTGGTCCACTTTCTTCCACGGGTTGACCAAATTGTTTGCTCAAAGGCCCTCAGGATCTCCGAAAAGAGAAAAAACACTACAGTGTCACTACAGAATGGATGGCCTGATGGCCACTATACAGTGACTTCAGAGTAGATGGCACAATTGGCAAGTTAGGTGGTTTGTAAGGACCCCCAGGTCTTGTGCCAAGACATCTTCGGGGTTTGTGCCATCTACTCTGAACCCACAGGTCTTTTGACGTCCGGATTGTGACGTCACCGGTGAAGCTTACCAAGCCGTGCCTTTTGGGTCGAGGGTCGACTTAGGAGCGAAGGACGAGCGGTCGACCGACCACATGCCAAATATGTTGCATCTCACGGTGTTTCAATGGTTTTCTTGATTGTGCTGAAGTTGCCCAAGCAAGACTAACCCCCCATCCTTCCCTTCGCCGCTGCAGACAGCCGCCGCTTCCGACTTCCATCCGTCCATTCGCTTCCGGTCTTCCGGCCGCTCCGACCTCCACGCGGTTCCTGGGAGGTCTTGAAATTCGCTTGGATGCAATTCCTGGCCTTTCTCATTCCAACTTGGGTCTTCTTGGAATGGTTCAAGGCAGGACGGACCTTGGCCAGGAAACGCGTAGAGGTTCGTTGGAGGATGGAACACACATGTTGACAAGGCGCCGAGCTTTTTTTCGGAGAATTCCGTTAAGTCCTTCCGGACAGTGCGGTAGAAGAAACTCAGATCAGGATGGTTTGCGAAGACAGACCAAATTCTTCCAGCCATGGATGACACCCAATTTTGTAAACAAAACATCTATCACAGGTGCCTTAGACTTAGTACAGGCTCGTCCCGTGTGTGAGAGAGAGAGAGAATGGCCTTGGACCTTGGACCGGCGCAGCCAACTAGCCGCTTCCCAGTACAGCGCTGAATAAGCAAGACAGCAACACATAGCAACACTGCGAATGCGCAGAGGAAGCTGCAGGCGCCTTTAGTTGGGGTGCTATACTTGGAGGCGCCCAAGTTTAGCAGACACTTGAAGAGCAGTGTAGAGGGGTCGTAGGTAGAGGGGTCGTAGCTACTTCTCCCCTTTCCATTCGAGACATGTGCAAGTGTAGTCCCTGAGAGCCAATACCCTAAAAGGATAACACAGCCAGCGTTCACAAGCCCATAGCAGACAGCACAGGCCACCCTTTATAAGTCATGGGAACCGGGTGAAAATTGCCCGGCTCCACAATGGATGGCGAGTGTGGACGCTCAATGCGACCGATGCGACCAATTAGCGAGGAATTCGTCGCTAGCTGGCTGATGTCAAGTGCAGGTGCCAGCTGCTATTTGCTATCCCCTTGAAAGTTTCCCACAGTTCGTCGTACCATGTTTGCATCCCTCACAAGTGAGGCAGGGGCACCTTGGACCACGAAGGGGACAAGAGTTTCGTTTAAAGACACTGGCATGGCATCTTAAGGCATACTCTGTCATTCGCAGGTGATTCGTTCGGGTGGTCACCAGACCCATGCCCACTGGAGCAAAAAAATGTTTGGATGAGAAAAGCTCCACAGCTCCATCCGCTCCGATCCACATAGATCCAGCCTCATCACAAGACGGAAGAGCCAGTAGACTAAGGCTGTGTAGACTAAGGACATCAGGCAAATCTGTACAGGCCTGCCTTGTGTATCTGTGCTTGGTGAGGCCATGGCAACTGGAAGCGCCGTGGCGCCGAGCCTTTGTCGTTGCTTCTGTGGAAATGGATGGCAGGAGGGGGGGCACGAGCGCGCGCCTGCTTGGCTCGTCAGTGGGGGCGGTGACTTGAAGGCTCGAAGGCACATGAGTTCTATATGGATAGTGTGAATAGTTGATGATACTTGAAATTCCATTCTATGGAACCAATCTTTTTCTCAAATTTCTCGTACACGTGCCAAAAAGTGCTGCAATCAGATCATATCAGATCTATCTGTGAAATTTCACTTCGAATTCAATCGACTTCTCCCATGTTTGCCTGGGTCAACCTCTGTTTGTGCTTCCAGGAGGAAGAAGATCGGACCTTTGGCTCCGTCTCGGTGGGGATCGGCTCCATCTCCTCGCTGGACGTGCCGGACGAGATGCCGGAGGCTCGTGCTCGGCTCGCGTGTGAGGTCGGGCGAGGCTGGCTCGGAGCAGGTTGGATGGGCACTCTGATGTCACTAGACTAGTCAGTCAAGAGTAGATAGATGGGTCAAGAGTAGGGACTGGACAAGATTATTGATTCTCTTTTGAATGACTTTGTAGCCATTGCTCTTCCAAGCATCAAAAATGCCTCGGGTCTTCCTTGCCAGGTCGTTGGAATGTTGTCCTACAGCACAGAGATGGTGCGCCACGGGTCCCCGGGGAGGGAAAGGGCTAACACAGATCGGAGGCCCACTACGTCACTGGGCAACGGACTGTGCACCTTGTTATAGGATTATAGGATTTGTGCACAAGTGGACATGGCAAGACTAATAATTGCCGCATGAGCCATGCAAGAATGTGCCAGCCAGGACCAGCCACTTCGGGGGAAGCCCATCCGTGAAGGCAGGGCAAGAGTGTGTGCAAATTAACTACGTACTTTGATTTATAGTGGATTGAGAGTAGATGACACAATAACTACAATCCCCAAGAGGCCAAGAGGTGGTTGAAAATGGACCCCCACCTAAAGGACATCTTGAGGGTTGTGCCATCTATTCTGAAACCACTGTAGTATCATTAGTATCTACCACACAGTCCTTGACTTTTGCGTGGTGATTTGTAGTTCCTTCGCAGGGAAACATGGGCCAGCAGTAGTATTTGTGAGGTAAACTCAAAACGCAGGACAGATGATGTCACACACAGCCATTCTCAGTCTACAAGAAGTGCCGCTTGAAGGCGATGCGTATAATTGTGTATAAAAAAAGGACTCCAAAAACAGCAAAAACGGCGGCTGCTATGCTTGAAACCTGCAACAAGAATCAAAAAGAGTTGTGGATAGAGGGAGGGGTCGCCAACTCCTCGGCTGACAGCACCCCGCGACTGAGGCGAGTTGTGGCAGCTTTCGACGGAGGAGCGCAGCTTTGCATTTGGACATGTTGGCGGTGATGACATAAATAGGTCGAAGATGACGAAGACTTCATCAATCTACAACTTGCCTCCCATTGTTTGTGAGGATGTTCTGGCATGTTGTCGCTTGTAGAAAAGCAGTGCCTGTTCCTTCCAAAGTTCCAGCCTTTTTGGATGATTTTTAGAAAAATCAGCTGCTGCTGCTGCATCTCAGAGGAAAAGGTACACCTCGCCACCCTCGCCTTGCGCCTTTTGCGCAGGAGGCAATCCAAAGAGTGCGCCTCGCCTTGTACGTCAACGGCCTTGCCATCATTGGGGACATCAAGAAGGCGCCCCTGAGATGTCCAAAGGTTCGATTGATTATTTGTAGTGTAGGGAGATGTAGGGAAAATTCAATCAAATTCACAGGCTTCATATGTTGTTTCTTTTCCTATTATTTGGAGTTCACAGGCATCATCCCACTATATCCTACTTTTTTCATTTGTTTTGATCCTCCTATATCTTTGTTCCATTCATGTTTGATGTTGCTCGATACAGACAGTGCCATTCTTTGAGGGATTGCTGGACCCACATCCTGCCTTGTCCAAGGTGTGTGTCCCACTGTCCCCATTCACGGTGGCTTTGATCTCAGTCTATTTGGCATCAAACGGTGGAGATGCATCAAGAGCGGTCATGCATCAGGTAGTTCTCGGCCTTTCATGGCACAAAAAACATTTAAAACAATACATTGCAAGGGCTACAAAAAATTGAGTGGATCCCAGATGGATAGCCGGAAGCTTGTTCATGCTACTGTAGCCTGCAAGTGCTTGTTGCTAGCCTGCATCTGAAGACATTGAGAATTCGAGAGGATACTCTATGTTCCCACAGAGGTCGATCGCATGCACATTCAAACAGATTCACTCAGCAGCTAGTAGTTGGACTTCTCAATCTACCTGCAAGTTGGAGCCCAAGTATATCCAACCTAGATCAGGTGTGCTAGCTTCATCTAGAGTCCAAATTGTTGAAGTTCAATTCAGGAAAACTCGATGCCAAAATCCCATCAATGTGAACTTTTGGGACGCTTTCACTTTCACAAAAATACATGAGACTGTCCAACAACTTCGGTCCGATGAGATCCTGATCCTGATCCTGATCCTTCTTCTCTCAGGTTCGCAACTGCAAGTTCCAGGCCAACACCTGCGAGGTTCAGGCGCAGCCTCACCCGGTCCGCTGGTCCGTTCGAGTACGGCTTCGACCACCGTCCGAGTGAAGACGATTCAAAGCTGGAGGTTCCGAGTGATCCCCAAAGTAACTTGACCGTGGCACGGTTTCCAACACATGTTTAGTGGGGATTTACATTCCTATCTATGACAGGGGACCACTATAGCATACTGCATACTATAGCATTCATGGCTGTGAATGTGCTGATTCATGACTTCTTGAATGCCAAAGAGACTTTGGGAACTGTGGCAACGGATAATATTAGATGAAGTATTAGATGATTTGCGAAACTGTTGAGCTGTTTCACTGAATATATCTAAATATCGCGAAAGCATCATAGAAAGTCATTGTGCTTTCGAAGACCTATAGTTTGCACCTGCTTTGTTCAAGCTGCAAAGTCCACATCGGCCTCGGGTGCCTTGTCAACTTAAATGGAGGGCGGCCATCCCTCACGTCATCCATGTTCATCCCACGAAAACCGACGAGACCGTTTCGGTGTGTTGCTCCAAGCGGACACCGAGCACCGAGCAGGAGTTCAACTCCTTCAAGATCTTCAAGGCGCGAAGCGGAGTGATTCGCCCGAGCGGAGCGGTGCGCCCGGTTCGTTCTGAGTGGGAGACCAGCCAACCAGAGTCCTGAATCTTCCTGTGGGTACTCGCAAGGGGAGAGTTGGAGGGTTGGTATGGTGGACGTGACGTCACGCAAGCTTATATGCACCAATACCCAGACGCGCCATGTATGGAATATTTGCATACATTGGGTTCAGGGGGGTTCAGGGGTCAATGTAGCCATGATAAACGACTCGTAGTTTAAAACGAAACTCTGGATGCGTTTTCGATCGCAGTGTTTCGGCCTCAGCTTGGATGGAACACAGGGCCCGGGACTGCGCGTGTGACGCGTGCGCAGCCTTGGGCCGAGTGGCGTCCACTGTGGTCGACGAGGACACGGGGGACGAGTTGCGGCAGTACATCGCCAAGGTACTGGAACGCAGCTACACCAAGATCCTTGAGAAGGGTCTTGCTATCGCCCGCCGCGACGCTCGCGAAGGGCGGCCGGAAGCTCCTGGCCACAGGGAGCTTGCGGGGGAATCCACTGAGCCACCAGTGGATCCCGGTGCTGAGGTAAAAGAAGAGAAGACCGAGGCTGAGGAGGAAGCCACAAAGAAGCGGAAGAGGAGGAAAAGACGCCCCAAAGAAGAGGAAGAGGTTGCCACAAGAGAAGAGGAAAAGCCTGCCGTTGAGGAGCCTGAGATTGATAAAGCTGCAGTGGAGGACATCGCTGCCAAAGCAGAGACTCCTGGTACGCCTTCAACGGGAGTCCCCAAGGAGAGTGACAAGGATCCCAGGACACCTTTGCCCCGCAGT